AGGAGCCCGTGTCTCCGTGAGGTGCTCTCACGAGTCCTGCGGGTCTTGTATCAGTCGAAATGAGGCACGCTTGGACCCTGAGCGGCCACTAATTGGCACTGCAGGGCCTCTCGGGCCCATAGGGCACCATGCATATCTAATGAGGCGGCACGCGCCCCTTGTGTCCCCCCCCCCCCCCCGCTTACGCTGCGCTGGCTGCGGCCATACAGGTAAATCGTATTCTAACCGTCCCTATTCCCAAGCATAGGCGGCGGCCGATTCCTGGCTTGCGCAATATGACTGCCGTCGTTACGCAATACGGTCAATAGGGTTGAAGCGGCATTGCTCCCTTGTGGTAAGAAGCAACATATTTTTAGACAAAATAAAGGCAATGACAACTAAATTGAGGTTACTAAAACGACTCTGATCACAAAAGTACCTAGTTACTAGGAAGGCTTTCTAATCAATTTTTATTTAGTTCCTCGTTATAGGCGTAAGAAGTGTAAGTCTGAATAGGGGGGGGGCATACTTGTACTGAATGCCCCTCAGGCTCCTGTCCGGGGGGCATATGCCCCTAACCTATTAATTTGAGGACTCGTTTTAGGGCCTTGGGCGGGCGGGCGGGCGGATGGGGTCTGGGGAGACAGATAGACGGACGGACGAACATCGGAGAGACGGATGGACGGACGGACGGAGAATGGAGAAACGGACGGATGGATGGACGGACTGAGAGACGGAAGGGCGGACGGACGGACGGAGAGACGGACAAAGAGATGGACAGACGGACGGGTAGAGAGAGAGAGAGAGAGAGAGAGAGAGAGAGAGAGAGAGAGAGAGAGAGAGAGAGAGAGAGAGAGAGAGAGAGAGAGAGAGAGAGAGAGAGAGAGAGAGAGAGAGAGAGAGAGAGAGAGAGAGGAGAGAGAGAGAGAGAGAGAGAGAGAGAGAGAGAGAGAGAGAGAGAGAGAGAGAGAGAGAGGAGAGAGAGAGAGAGAGAGAGAGAGAGAGAGAGAGAGAGAGAGAGAGAGAGAGAGAGAGAGAGAGAGAGAGAGAGAGAGAGAGAGAGAGAGAGAGAGAGAGAGAGAGAGAGAGAGAGAGGAGAGAGAGAGAGACTGAGAGAGAAAGAGAGACTGAGAGAGAAAGAGAGACTGAGAGAGAAAGAGAGACTGAGAGAGAAAGAGAGACTGAGAGAGAAAGAGAGACTGAGAGAGAAAGAGAGACTGAGAGAGAAAGAGAGACTGAGAGAGAAAGAGAGACTGAGAGAGAAAGAGAGACTGAGAGAGAAAGAGAGACTGAGAGAGAAAGAGAGACTGAGAGAGAAAGAGAGACTGAGAGAGAAAGAGAGACTGAGAGAGAAAGAGAGACTGAGAGAGAAAGAGAGACTGAGAGAGAAAGAGAGAGAGGGGGTGGTGAGAGAAAGGAGGATAAGACTAATGAAGGAAAAGGAAAAGACTAACAGAGACTTCAGGGAGGACGGCAAGGAGACTGATACCTACAGAGAGGAACAGTAGCGGCGGAACACCTTCAATTAAGGGGGGGGGGGGGGGGGGGGCACTGCCAACTTTTGGTCCCATTCTTTCCATGCAACGCCCATAGGGCTAATGTTAAAATGCCAAAATCAAAGGGGGGGACGGTGCCCCGGTGCCCTCCCCGTTCCGCCGCCTATGGAGAGGAAAAATGAGTGAGCAAGGGATTTGAGAGATAGGTAAAGAGACAGGGGAGAAATGAGATTTTATTGCTCCGCTCCTAATAACACTTCCTAAAATAAAATATAATTGGCCGTAATTATCGAATAAGAATCGGAAATTGTCAATTGAACGTCTGATTCGCTTACATCAATCGACAATCCGCCCTATACCATGTTTGACATGTTTGCAGTTTGCACCAAAGCCAGCTTGCAGGCTATAGCCTATACATCGAGGCAGTGGTAATATACTATACATCCCGGTGAATTCCTGCATATAGCCGAGACCTCCGGCGGTATTTTCCCACGATCAGCCGGATTTCAAAGTCGTGTATTTTTCGTCCATGGCAGGCGGCCGGCGCAATCTCGGTGAAAGAGGCACTCCAGTAACAAAAGCACGAGCAGATCGCCCAAATGCCGGTGGCCGCGATAATTTATCTAGTTTCTGAAGAATTTTCGGGACCCATGCTCTTTTCATACTGGATCGTGTGCCTTACAGAAACTGAAAAGTTCTTCCTATATCAAAATATAGAAAATAATCTTTTGTTATAAAAAGGTTTTATTTTCTTTGCTGATCATTTTGAACATAAAAAATCATAAATCCATTGCAAAAAAAAATAATTTCGTGAAAGTGAACTATTTCCTTTAAGATTGGTTCAGAAACCTGGCCGTGATAAACAGTCTAAAATGTATCTGCAATTTGCCCGTTTTTACCCCCCTCTACCCCCCCCCCCCCCCTATTGACATTTTTTAATTTTTATTTTTTAGAAATGTAGATCACGTTGAGCGAAATCGAATGCCGTTTGAATTTTGAAAATCGGCCCGTTAGATCTCGAGATATCAAGGGGGGGTCGTAAACAGCCCCGCCCCCCTGCCACTAATAGGGGTAGCCAGGAGCCTGCCACTAATAGGGTTAATACTAACTTTGCCTTCAATTTCACTCATGATTTGAATAAATTTAGGTATAATGCATAGATGTGAGGTCATCCGATTTTAATGTGCAGAGATAAGAAATGCGTGATGGATTCAATGCTGGCCAGGGTGCTAGCTGGCGATGAGGTCAGGCTCCAGTGGACTTATCGGTATGCGCGCTCTGTTCATGCAGGGTGTTATTACGTAAGGCCGATTTTACGACGTATGACAGGTGATGGCTGTCATACGTAACAAACCACCTCGTTGGCGCCTGAACACTCATTACCGACAAAGCTCCCCGCTGAATTTATTACATAAGAAACGCAGCATCTCAGGGAATTTTTTACGCATGCGTCACCATGATAAACGTTGTATGCATCCGTAAGTAATATGGGGATCAATCGGAAATTGCATTTCGGTATAAGAGCAAGTCGTCATGGCCAGGCAAGTGGCTATATGTACTTAAAAAATTGACTGTCATTCCCACAGCTCATCGCATAGAATTTTGAAACTGTTTTTGTTTTGCAGGAAAACGGGTTGACGAAGTCCGTCTATTTTGGCGATTTTCGCTGTCTGTGGGCCAAACTGTTGAGTGTTGACATGCGGTCAACTCTGAGAGCATGGCAACGAAGGAGCTTTGAAAGGGCTATCGAATGCGCTTTTCTGCGATGCTGCAGCTCTTTTGGTTCACGATTGATGTGGCGTTTTATGAAAATAATGTCAAAATTTTGGAACTTTGACGAAAAATGCTGCTTTTGATGACGTTTAGTGCCCGCAGCGTTGACCAGTGTTAGCCTCAGAGGAAACATAACGTTTGTGCTTCTGGTTGAACTATTGATTGCGATCGATTTCACTTTTCGTTTCACATTTCATTTTTCGCGTCTATCTAGCTTTTTTGACAATCGGGTCTTGCCTTAAGGTCTTCATCATAGCAAAGTTGAATGATATGCCCACACTCGATGGAGGGTTAAATATTAAAGGTCCTATGTTTTCATAGAATCGTTTCGATGGCTATTGAACACCGGGAATACCTGCATACAGGGCAGAGTGTGTTGGGTTGTATAATGGACGGATTAGTGCTATCGAGGTGATTTGTGCAAAATGCGTCACAGAGCTGGCTCACCCGAGTCCTCCCGAAACGAGCAGCTCTGACGCGACATCCGGTTTGTCATCCTTCCGGGAACGTCCACTCGTCATCAGACTCGAGTGCGTCTTGCGCATTGTGAGTTCCCAGAGTTCCGATATTTTTTGTTCAAGATTTGATCCTAAATGTTTAACCTGGTCGAAAAAATATGCGTTTTCGGCACTGAGGTGTCTTACGTAATTGAGCATGGCATGGTACCAGTGCCAAAGAGCAGTTTCTAACCGTGACTCTTTGGAGAGGAATCTCATCGGATGGCCAAGCAGTCGTGGTCTCTGATACGCTAATATTTTGTAACTCTTCCAATTGTGTAATTTGTATCGTGCTTCAGTTTATCAAGTTAGGATTTATTACGGAGCGAGCGAAGCGAGCGGAGTCTTTCCTTAGATTAACGGAAATTTCTGAGTATGAGCGGCCGGCCGGCCGGCCGTGCGGACGCTTTTGCGAGGCTTATATCTCAGCAACCACTTGACCGATTTACACGCGGTAATTTTTGTAGGGTAGCTTCATTCCTTCTACCAAGTATTGGACTATTCCCGATGCATGTGGGTGACCCCTTATGCACGTGCCACGTGCAATACGAAGAGGTGTCAGTTTTGTAATTGTTGCAATATCTCGGTAACTACTTGGCCGACTGCGCTGAAAGTTGGCATGTAGGTAGGCACTAGGCACCCACTAGGCACTGCATATCCATGTGCCAGAGTTGGGGTGCTGCTGCACGTGCGCACGTGCAGGGGTCGTTTCCAGATCTCGAGAACGGCTGGACCGATGGCGCTCAAATTTGGTGCACGGTTAGAGACCAGTTAGTAGGGTGCCGTGCACAAGGCAGTTGGGACCCATTTAGCACGTGCGCACGTGCAGGGTGCCGCTCCCAGATCTCGAGAACGGCTGGGCCGATTGTGCTCAAATTTGGCACATCGCTAGAAACTGGTCAGTAAGGTGCCGTGCACAAGTCAGTTGGAGGTATCCCCTCGAAATTTCGCACGTGCAAGACTCACCCCCTCGCTCGCTCCGTCAGTCGCCCCAAAAGGCGCTATACTGGTCCACTATCCACCAGGGTTTATTCGATAGGCAGTAGAAAACACCTTGGTTGAGTGTCGAAAAATGGCACGGAATATGGAGAACCACAATTATTTGATGAGTAGTATGGAAAGCAGGCATTATCCCGCGTAATTTATTGGAATAGCTGGATTTATCTGGCGTACCTAGACGCGAAATGAATAAACTCCAAGCAGGATAGTGGTGCCCTTACCTACCCCTCCCCCACTGCCACGGCCAAACTGTACCTGCCAGATCCACATCAATATTTATTTCAATTATCCTTCGCATTGTAGTTATTATGGCAATTCACTGTCATATCCCCTACCAACATTGCCAATCAGCGCACAGCCCTAAACAGGAATTAACGGTCGCACTTGCAGGAATCCATCGGCAGATTACAGGCTTCATCAGATACATATGCATGCGTATTGCGTTCGCATCAGTTAAAAAAGTAAACACTTTTCTGCGCAAACCTTGTTTGAAGTCTGGTCCGAACTACCGTCACCGATAATGTGAGATTACACACTCGCTATTCAACGCCCCTGGGCCGTCGCCCGAATTTGTGTCACCGTTTGTCACTGCAGAGGGGCGTGCCTCTCAGGCGTGGACGGCCTGAGAGGTGGTCGGCCCAAGTCATCCCTCAGATTCTCTGCAGTGTGGGTGCAGATCGATCCTTCCATCGTCACTTGTGACCTCGGGCCGCGGGTCCTCAGGTATGGCGCAGGTCGGCGTCGAGTCCTTTAATGTGGGCGCAGGTCGGCGTCGGGTTCTCAGATGTGCGCGCAGGTCGGTCCGAATCGTCCCTCAGATGTGCGCGCAGGTCGGTCCTTGGGCCGACACCTGGCACACGGTGTTGGGCGGACAGTACTTGCCCTCGCACGTCCCGATAGCTGGAACAGAGGTCGGCGTCAGGTGGAGTACGGTTGTCGGCGTCAGACAAATAGAAGCCGTCCTTGGCGGTCTCAAATTGTCTACGCAGTGCATCGTAACTTATTTTATGTAGCACGTTAAAATATATCTGAATACTGTGTGGTTATTATTGAAAAGCCTTTACTTTCATTTCATGAAAGTAATTTTATAAACTCGAAATTAAATTTTAAGACTTAATTTGGTTTCAATGAATCAAGCATCAAGATGGGACGGATATGGACGTTGGACAGGCCCAGCATTTACATTAGCTGGTCAGCTAATAACCACAGCGAAGCCGAAGGTGAGGTCTGTCTTCTCTGAGTGGCGTACTCACGTTCTCCCTTGCGGCAGAGCGCTCCGTCGGGCGTGTCGATACAGTTGAGGCCCGGCTCACACTCGCGCACCTCGCACGTGTTGGGCAGACAGATGGGCGAGCCCTGGCGAATGTAGCAGTTGGTGCCGCGACGGCAGAAGAAGCCCTCGCACGTCGGCACGTCTGTGTGCACACGGCCAAAGTGTCGCGTAAGGTATATGTGTCGGATTTCTTCTCCGATGTGTGAAATGATCGATCATCGATGGTCGTTTTTGTGTACCATGGCGCCAATAAAAATGGAGGTGTGAGGGAAAGGCTGCTTCGGTTTGTTTCATTTTCTTTTTCAGCAAGAGACATCGTCCAGCCTTGAACATTATGTTGTTTTACATTGCTTATTTAAAACTACCCCTGGCCGGTTCGAGAAATCAACGTAGTTACTCGCACTGTTTATTTGTTTGCATGTCTATGCACCATGGAGGTATTTGTTCGACGTTTGCGTTCATCGCCTCTCACCTGGCACACAGTCGGGCCCGTCGGGCAGCTCGTCACACTTCTCTCCTGCAGCACACCGGATGTCGGCACAGGTCCCTGTAACCAGTCACGACGTCAGTGTGTCGCACAGGTCCCTGTAACCAGTCACGGCGTCAGTATGTCGGCCCAGGTCACTGTAACAGTCACGACGTCAGTGTGTCGGCACAGGTCCCTGTAACCAGTCACGGCGTCAGTGTGTCGGCACAGGTCCCTGTAACCGGTCACGGCGTCAGTGTGTCGGCACAGGTCCCTGTAACCAGTCACGGCGTCAGTGTGGATCGGCACAGGTCCCTGTAACCAGTCACGGCGTCAGTGTGTCGGCCCAGGTCCCGGTAACCAGTCACGGCGTCAGTATGTCGGCCCAGGTCACTGTAACCAGTCACGGCGTCAGTGTGTCGGCACAGGTCCCTGTAACCAGTCACGGCGTCAGTGTGTCGGCACAGGTCCCTGTAACCAGTCACGGCGCGGCGTCAGTCCCAGTCCACGGGAGATCTGTCCTTGGTCGGGACAGGCACAGAGAGGCCGAGTCTGTCACATCGTCACAGGTTCCTGTGGCCAGTCACGGCGTCAGTACCTATGTCCGCACAGGTCCCTGTGATGCACACCTGGAGAAGCTGCCCTCAATCACAACGTCAGCCCCAGGGGATACCCGTCCACAGACGGGTCAGGCCCGGCCAGTCCAGCATAGCCCGGCACCGGTGGATGGTGAATGTCCACCCACCCCAAGGATATCCCAAGAACTCACCCCTCCCTTTAGCGACATTCCATTTCGATGTTCATTCACGTCCTATCCCTGTCAGATGGGTGTATGAAGAGCGGAGTAGGTGTAATCAGTTCGTAATCGGCTTATGCAGAGCTGTACAAGGGTGACTCATAGTGGACTCACTGGGCTGACACTCTGGCCCGTCAGCGGTCTGGACGCATTTCTCGTTCGGCTCGCACTTGATGTCCTTGCAAGTCAGCTTCTCTGAAACACAGGCAGTTACCGGATCACTGCAGTTACACCACAATCATATAAATAGCGCTGTCTGGGCGATGGTGTCAGGAGCGGAAGTGACGAACCCGACTTGCGGGAATAAAGCGACTTAAAACGAAGGCATGAAGATTCGGTGCGGGTGGTGATTCCGTGTCAGAAATCGCGTAACGCTGGCGGGGATCAGGGCAAAAGTGAACTGTTGCTCATTTCCACGGAATTGTTTTCATCATCACCTGAAACCAATAAACGTGTATGACATGGATAATCAGATAGGGGTAATCTCAATGAGCCAGCAACTGGGGCTGGCTCATTGAGTTTAACTTTTAAAGTCAATGCCTTTGTTTTTCTTCCCGCGAGAGGTTTGACTCGGAGGTGCCTTTTGAGGTACGTACCTCCTTAAAGGGACAGTATCACCATTTTGATGAAATTTGACATTGCATAGGCCCCACCTTTCTGGTCCGGGAACTGAAGACCGATCCTCGAAGCTCCACACCGTTATCCCGCTATCGCCGCTCAAAGTACGAAAGGTGTACTACACTTTGAATCGTGCTTCACTATCTTCACTGTTTAAATGTTTGCGCCGTTTTGAATTGACCGCCAGTAATAAAACTTTTACCCTGGTCATTTCATCAAATTTTATAAAGCCAAAACGTTTTTCGCACTTATTCATCACCGTTAAATTCATTAAATAGTCGTAGGCAATTTCCGCTGTTTCCTTCGGATTCTAGCGGCTCAACAAAGGAATTCCTCCAGCTTGAATCACAATCTCCCTCCAATGTATGAAGTATATGTATGACGTCATCTGATCAGTCTCGATCTCAACGACAACTCAATCAGAAGAGCGGCCGCGTAAGCGTAGCGTCAATATAATGTATTATCTGCGCCAGTTCTGTAGTAATTTCGCAGGCTTCCAAAGTGGCGGCCATGCTTGTAGTGGTGGTTCGCTCATGAAAATGACTCGCTCATTAATATACATTCTTGGACGATACCGCGAAAACGAAATATTTCTATCGAGAGTTTTCAAAGGATTTCATGCACGAGGCCTTGGCCGAGTGCATGAAATTCTTTGAAAACTCGAGATATAGAGGATTCTTCATGGCTCCGAGTGGAAGATAAGGATATCTTTTCCAAGCGGGTTACTGAAAAACCGAGCGACGAAGGAGCGAGGTTTTTCTGTAACACGCGAGGAAAAGATATCCTATCTTCCACGAGTGAGCCATGAGGAATCCTATATCTTTCTATGGTGAGGTTTATTCTTGATTAATAAAATATTATATTTAAATGTATTCATCCATGTGAAAATAGATTCAGAGTAGTTTGTTCTTATTTCATAAGCTTCATCCATAAACAACCATTAAAAATGTCGTTCGGTTATTGACCCATCATCACTTGAACTCTTGATTTTTCGTTATGAACCCTCGAGACCTTATCTTTGCATCTCAGAGGGATGCAGAGATAACAATTTCTTATCTCTGCATCTCAGAGAAGTGCGAGATAGAAATATCCCTGCACTGTAGACCCAATGGCAAATAAACCTCAACTAGAAAGATAGAAATATTTCGTCGCGGTAGAGTCCTAGATATTATTTCCTGTATGTTTCTTTATATCGTTCGTTATTTGCTTAAAAAGGCCGAAATATGCATAAATAAAATACAGTAACATTAACTACACGTTAAATACTGAAATACTGGCAGTTCTAATTACTTAACAGTTCAGCAAAGCTTACAAATTTTCTTTAAAACCGAAGCCCTTGATGAAATCAAGCTATCCAAGAAAACCATCCAAGAAAACGTCTCGCGCAAAGTTTCTTGGATGGCTGGATTGCATTGCAAGACTGCATCAAACATACAGGAAAAATTTTTTTTTCACCGAGTTCGGTCCTCAAACTATGTTTTTCTGATTCAGAAAAATAAGAAATGCTAGTAAAAAAAAAATCAGCTCCATACATTGATTTTTTTTTTCGATGACACTGTCCCTTTAAGTGGACTTCAGTCTCTGAGGATGACGTTTAAATGCAATTTTGTTTGAACACATTGCATTTTAGGAATGTTTGTCGTGAGAAATTAAATACGCCACACGGGCTGACCTTTGAGATTGGAACATTAAAACTGACCGTACCTGCCTCCTTGGTGCGGTCAACGCACCAACCTCCTACCCCACGTTCCTCGTTGGGTTGGGAGGAACATCTGATCTGATCTGATCTTTAGAACTGATCTATAGATCCTTCACAAACTGCGGCTACCGCGCTCTTTGCCAGCTGCGTGGGTACTGGTACCGAGTGTGTCGTGCAGAAGGATGCTCAAGTGACATGGTCATTCTATCGATCACCTGAAGGCCGTCGGTGGCGGAGTGCAGTTTCCTGTGTCACTCACTTGGGATGCAGGCCTCGCAGCGGCACTCCCGTACCTCGCACGTGTATCTGTCGCCGCACGTGTTGGCGACACACTCTGCAAACAAACAGGCCTCGTGTCATCCAGAGGCGCCGCTGAAAGAGCCGCCCGCCACCGGGCGCAATGCGCCGCGCAGTTAGCTGGGAAGAGATTTCTGATTTCTAGACTCCTGCACCAATATCGATCAGAGGTCAACGATAGATATGCGTGGACAATTGATATTCCTTTACTTTGATGGGACAAATTTCGGTATACCTACCGTTCTTAACGCCTGGTTCGAAATGCCCATGACATGTTGACATTTGACGCATCATTAGCAGCGTTGATATACACCACATGTCACCGGCATCCTTATCTCGTGCTTGCGCTACTTTTGGATCGTTGTCATCAATCCAATATTGAAACGCTTATTTAGAAGGTCCAGATATGACAGTCTAACAGACCGCAGAGCGATGCCTATTGCCTACCGTTCGGCGGTCCAACTTGCACCAGGCTGATCCGTTCATGGTGCTCGGCCGAGACGGCGCAGACGAGACTGGCCAATAGCAGCTGGCGCATGGTGTGGCGCTGGGGAGTCGGAACAGTCAGTACTCGGTACCAGCCAGACCAGCAGCCGGCGCAGCGCACTGTGTTGCTGGGGAGTCAGTAGCTACTAGCTAGTGCCGATGAGTAGGTAGGGCAGCGGTGGGTGGTGTCCAAAATGTTCACATATAAAGCATTTAAACGTTAAATCCCGCATTGCATGGCATCGAACATACTTTATTAAAACAGAACATCGAACGCACAAAATATGAAATTGCTTCACCTCAAAACACAACATATCTATTTAAAGACAATATATCGACTGATAAAATATTGAAAAGCAAGATTTCGAAAATATGAATGATCAAACTCAAATTGCCGACCTGAGGCGAATTCGAATGGGGCATTCCCGCCTGAGCCAAGGGTCCGACTGTCGAGGCCAGGTTTGACGTCCTTGGAGAAATAATGTTATAGTTTGCGAGCTAACAGAGCTGCATCACGGGAAAATATACGATAGCTGTTTCACTCATTCAGATTTGCGAAGTCTTTCTCTCTAATAAGTTTTCAGAATTGACCTCAATACAGCGGTTTGGCCTTACTGCGCTTCTCTTAGCCTTCTGTCGAACGTCACTTGTCCACGCAACTAAGCATTGTAGCGGGACCTGCGAGATGGTTTTGAAAATTTCTTTCCGAAACGCATCTAAAACATGAATCCTGAAACTTGAAGCTCGAATTCACGCCGCAGGTCAAGGTCAGGTTGAAAATAAAATTGAGCATGGGCTTTAGCTTCCAGCAAAAGCGGTGTCGATGATATCGATTGAATATTCGAACTGCGTGCTGACAACGGATAAATAGGTCAGCTATTCCGTAAATGCTGAGCTCATCTGATATTGTAAGGTCAAATTCAGGTCAAAAATTTCAATGATTTTAACTGATTTAACCTTCGCCCCAGTGGGGGGGGGCATATGTTACCACCCTGTCGCGTTTTTTGCGTGTAAATAAAAAACCGCGGCGCGCAGCGCCGCGCCGCTTGGGGTAGCTTTTTGTACATCAATTTTGGACAATGTGTGAAATTTTTGACCCCAGGTCATGTCAGGTCAGGTCACCAGGTCAAGTTAACTGACCAAGCCTAAAAAGAAGTTTGCAATCGTGTCCAGCCTGCAGTGTTTGTCAGAAAGGTTTCAAACTTGGTGGATTGTATGATGTTATGGGCGCCTACAATTTGTATATCTCGGATTTTTTTATATCCGTGACCTAAGGTCAGGGCAGTGGCGTGACCTTACCATTATAAGGCAATGGAGAAAAATGAAAATGCCTCTAAATCCGTGTGTATGCATAGGAGCAGTCCAAATATTTCAGAATAGCAATGATTTGGACCACCCGTGACGACCAAGGTGTGTTTTTTGCTGATAGCCTCTAGAAAGGTCATCCGAGGTCATTTGAGGCTACAAACAGATTTTTGCCAATAACTCTCGATTGGAAAGAGATAGGACGCTGGGGATGGTCTCATTGTGTTTGTCTTATTGAGACGCATCGAATGATATGCAACATGACCTTTTCCGGTCAGGTCATGACCTTGACCTGAGGTCAAATTTTCAAGTTGACCTTTCAAGGTCAAATTATAGTTCATTCGACGCGTCTCGTCGAGAGGAACACGATTCTGGCAATAGAAATGTCCTAGCTGGTTTAAGTCAAAAGTTATTGTCGAAAAACACATTTCGTAAAAACAGCTTTTTTGGGAGTTTTTGCCCTCTGGAGGCTAAACCGTTGACCTGAGGTCAATTTTGATGATGACCTTACCAAAAGAAGAGTTCAAAAGCTATCGATTGCTTTTTATGCGTTTTTCTAGCTATCATAGTTCCTGAGATAATTGCATGTTTTCTGAGAAATATAACGACATTTGGCAAATTTTGACCTTTGATGACCTCCAGTGACCCCAATATTGCTCTAAGATGAAAATGACCTAAATACTTTCAAACGTACGCATTGAGAGCTATCGACTGCTTTTTACCGCATCTTTCTAGCCCTCTTAGTTTTTGAGTTAGAGGTGGGTGGTAACATATGCCCCCCCCCCCCCCCCCCACTAGGGCGAAGTTGGCTGAGACCGCCACTGGGGCGCGGGTTAAATGTCATCTGACCCATTTTCTGGCCGGTCTTATCAAAAGGGAAGTTTTTTGCGTCGTTAAGGTATTTTTTAAGATTTCAAGATCAGGCACTGACCTCTGGTTAGGTCAAGGTCAGGTTAAAAAAGTTCAAATTTTTAAGTTGAAAATGAGGTCTACAAAAGGGTGTCCATCAGTTGTAGATTGAGCTCAGTAAGTTAATGGTGTGATTCGTTTTTCTCCGTTCATGATGTCTGTCGTCTGACTTTATGACTTCAGAAAAATGGCAGTGAAGTACTGACACTTATTTGCTGACTTGGACGCAATATAAAATTTTATTTCTTTTTACCTAAACTGTTACGAAGTTACATCACAAAATTGGCCATAACTTGAAGAAATTGACAAAACATTACAAGAAGTTAACAGCAATCGCAAATTCACGTAGGAGAAGTTACAAAAAGCTTCCAAGTGGTTGCCTCATAAGTCCTCGAACAATCGCGATTAGTCGACTGGGAGCGGGGGAGGGAGGCGTTAACCCTATTAGTGGCAGGGGGGTTGTTTTCATCCACCCCTCAGGTTTTTCGGGAATATCTCCGAAACCGCTGAAGCTACGATGCTGAAATTTTCTGACTTTTCCTAAAACTAAATTGGGCACATTCCCTGAAAATTTCAAGTTCAAAACTTTACCAGGGGCGGCTCCAGAGCACTGGGAATTGGGGGGTCCTATTCGTGAAGCGAGTCATTTGGGCGAAGATCACGATGCTGATGTATTATAACTGTATGCACCAGTTTTACGAACAGTGAATGAAAGATATCATGTGATAACATATACAAAGTTATTGTGCATCCTCTTTTGACACGTTTTTGCTATAATAGGCGGATCCAGGCGTCCAAAAAGGGGGGTTATGTTTTACCTCCCAACATAGGTGCCCTGACACCGCCTATGCATGACCAATACAATTGTAGTCGTTCTCTCATAAGAAAATTGTAACATAACAAGACCATTACCACCCTTTTTAGAAACAGTATTGTTAATTCCCTGGAGGGATCTTCTGGTACTGTTAATTATAAATATATAGTTTCTTTATATTTTCTTGTAGTTGGAGTCTTCTTGAGTAATAGAGAAAGAAAGGACATCTTCTACGGGGTTTATTGCTTGAGTGACACTCTCATAGGCGGTATCTTAACGCAGAACATTACCGTTTCATTCGTGGTCACCAGCAATTCCTTATCGTAATATGCACTGTCTACATTATATGAATATTTCTCTTTAATGTTTCACATGTGCTATTTCCTTAATATTTTCCCCGTTACGAAGTTTATGTCCTCCTTACTAACTAACTAAAAACCTTGACCTTTCTTCCATCAAAATATTTACAACAATTAAAACACCTCGCTCGCGTGATCATTTCCGGGAGCGCTCTCGGTAGAATATTCAACACCCTCCCCTTGAAAGAACTCTTTCAACATTTACATTCGCAAGGTACCTACGACATGGCGTAGTGTAGCAATATACACAGTACTCAAACACAGCACTTATTACATTTTCACAAGTTTGGTAATCGGACGCTGCACTGTAACACCTCTGATGTTCAGAGTCACCGATCTCACTAAGCCGTCTTTTGACATCTTGACTGACTCGACCCTACCGATGGGCCATTGGCCCCGTGGCACACTGTCGTCAACCATCAATACCAAATCGCCAACAGCCAGGTTTTGTCTAGCCGTAGCGGTGCTGGTGGACCGCTGCTGGAGCAGTGGAACGTACTCTCGACGCCAGCGCTTCCAGAACACATCTGCCATATAGCTCGCCTGTTTCCACATTTTCCGTTTGTCATTTTCAGATGCAGAGAAGACATTCAAGGGTGTCGTTCCGGAACTGGCCCCGAGTAAGAGTATGTCGTTTGGAGTGAGGGGCGGAGCATCGAGGGGGTCACTCGACGGCGAGACCAGAGGCCGGCTGTTCACTATCGCCTCGGCTTCACACAGGAACGTTTGCAGCGTCTCATTCTTCAGTGTTTTCGCGTGGAGCATCGTGTCCAGAATCCGTCTAACTGTTCTAATCATTCGTTCCCAGGCTCCACCATGATGAGACGCTCCTGGAGTGTTGAACTTCCAGTCAATGTCGTTGGCTAGCATCTCCTTTGCCACCCACTCTTCCTTTTCCTCCAGCCGCTTCAGCTCTTCACGTAGTTCTCTGTGGGCTCCAACAAAGTTTGTTGCTCGATCTGATCTCAGGGTCTTGACGTTCCCTCTTCTAGCTACAAATCTTTTCAGCGCACAGATGAACGAGTCCGATGACAGATCCTCAGCCACTTCAATATGTATGCAGCGCACTGATAGGCAGGTGAAAATAACACCATATCGCTTAACTTGTCCTCGACCTTGGCTGACGTAGAAGGGTCCAAAGTAGTCTACCCCAGTTCTTGTAAACGGTCGCTCTCCCGCTGTGATCCTGTCGCCTGGAAGATTTGCCATCTTTTGTTTTTCCGTTTTCGCACGTAGCCGCTTGCAGGTGAAGCACGATTTAAGCACTCTCTTGACAGCCGATGTGCTCTTCAAAATCCAGAACCTCTTCCTTAGTTCTGCCAAAACATGCTGTCGGCCAGCATGTCCTGTTCGTCTGTGGACGTCCTCGACAAGTAGCTTCACATAGCTCGCATGACTCGGGAGAATGACTGGATGCTTAGCATCATATTCAAGAGCTGAATGTTGCAGTCTTCCGCCGACTCGGATGATGCCGTCTTCAAGGAAGGGGCTAAGTTTGCTGAGCTTACTTGTTGCACGAATGTCTTTGCCTGAGTTCAAGGCCACCACCTCCTCTGGAAACGCAGCGGACTGTATGCTCATCATAATAGCTCTCTCTGCTTCTCGGATGTCTTGAGTTTCCAGCAAAATCGTCTTCCTTTGCGTCGTGACTCCTTCCTCCTTACTTCGACGAATCAACTCCTGTTTCACCTTCAAGATCCACGCTACTGCTCGGAGAAGCCTGTGCCTGTCGCTGTAGTGTGCAGTGAGTTTCAGCAGTGGGTTTTGAAGATCATCTTCTTGAGTCGCATCATAAGCCTTCGCTGCACACACAGTCATCTTCTTGACCTCCAGGTCATCTGTCGTGTCTTGTAACGCTTGAGGCGTTTCTGGCCACTGAGTTTCGTTTTTCCAGAGGTATTCTGGCCCTGTGAGCCACCTTTCACTCTGAGTTCCTCTTGACACATCGTCCGCCGGATTTTGAGAGCTGGGCACATGCCTCCACTGAGCAGGGTGTGAGCCGTCATGTATGATTGCCAGCCTGTTCGCAACGAATGTGTGAAATCTTGTTTTGCGGTTGTTGATGTATCTCAACACCGTAGTGCTGTCTGTCCAGAAGAACTCTTCTACTTCAACCGACAAGCGCTCCAACTGGGTCTTCAATGCACCCAGGATCAGTACACTGAGTCTCACGCCTGTCACAGCGGCCATCAGTTCGAGTCGTGGGATTGTTACCATTTTCAGAGGAGCCAGATGTGCCTTCCCTTTCAGAAAGCTCACCTGAACGGCACAGGCAGCGTTCGCCAGCCTGATGTATGACACAGCGCCGTAAGCTGCCTCGCTCGCGTCGACGAACGTGTGTATCTGACAAGTGGTGACACTCCCAAAGTCCCTATGCTTTATGCATCGCGAGATGCTCAGACTGTCCAAGCCTTCCAGAGTCGAAAGCCAGCCATTCCAAGCTAGTTTGTCCTCTTCTTCCAGTTCAGCGTCCCAGTCCATCTGCTTCCGGGTCAACTCTTGCAGGAGACGACGTCCCTGTATCACGGTCGGTTCAGCCATACCTAGCGGGTCATATACCGAGCTCACCACAGAAAGCAAACCGCGTCTTGAGCAGGTCTTCACCTTCGCGCTCTTTATTTGTGGAGACAGCTTCAGAAGATCATGCTCTGGGTGCCATATCACCCCGAGCACCCTCTCGGTCGGCAGCTCATCCCAGAGGCCAGACCATTTCTTCATTTCAGTCGATCTGTCTTCGTTTTCGATGGCTTCTACCACGGCTGGGCTGTTCGATGCGAATTTAGTCAGATTGAACCCTCCCCGTTTGCACAGGTCCTTTAGCTCACTTGCTAGCGTGATGGCCTCTTCGTCTGTCGGAACTGATCGTAGCACGTCATCTACATAGAAGTTTTCATTGACAGTTGTCACGCACTCTTGCGAGAAGTCGTCACCCGCGTCGGCTGCAGTCTTTCTTAAAGCATAGCATGCCACGCTGGGTGAGCTTTTGGCCCCAAATAAGTGGACCGTCATTCGATAGTGACGAGCGCGACCACTGATGTCCCCGTTCTCAAACCAGAGGAATCTGATGAGATCTCGATTGGCTCTATCGACCTTCACTTGGTTAAACATTCCTTCAACGTCGGCTGTGACCGCCACCCGTTCTAGCCTGAACCGCAGCAGCACGTCCACCAATGAATTCGTCTGATCTGGACCAGTCAGGAGCATGTCGTTGAGTGATACGCCATTGTATCTTGCTGCGCAATCAAAGACAACGCGTATCTTGTCAGGTTTTGTCGGGTGATACACTGCGTGATGTGGCAGGTACCACACTCGTCCATCTGCTCTTCTCTGTTCTTCTTCCGGCACTTCTTCTGCGTACCCCTTGTTGATCATTTCTTCCATAAATCCTTTATAGTCCTCAGCAAGTTTTGCATCCTTTCGCAGTCGTGATCGGAGATGCTCCAGTCGGTTTTCGGCCATCTTCACATTCACTGGCATCCTCTCTGCTGGCGTTTTTGTTGGCAAAACAGCACTGTAATGGCCTTCTTGCATCTCCATTGAGGATTCAATTTTTTGAACCCATTCTTTGTCTTCCACTGATAGGCCTCTTCTTGTGCAGTGCAGTTTCTCCTCATATTCGCTGTCGTACATGTTACGCACCATTTCTTCGATGGACGCTCTCTCGTCTCTCACAGCGGCTCTACACACTGTGGTGTGCGACTTTCGTGATGGTGAATCAAGACCGCTGACCACCCAACCAAATCTAGTCAGCACCGCGTATGGGCTTCCGTCTACACTTGGAATCACTCTCACTGGTTCCATGGCTAGGAACGCATTTGCTCCCAAGAGCAATCCAACTTCACTTATCTCGGGCTCTGGTAGCTCTAAATATCTGAGGTGATCCCATCTTCTTACATCGTCTGTCTTTGGGTAGTCGCTTGGGTCGGCAGGTATATTCTCCAGGCTGAAGAGCTTTGGTAAGTCCATTCTGTTATCTCCGCACAGGTCCGTGATGTGAAGTCCTTCCACTTCCCGTGTTGGAATGCTGATGTCCTCCTGACCCACAGTCGTGATGGTCAGGTGCCTGCTGGGCTGTTTAATGCCGAGTTGATCCATCAAGCTTTCAGTAGCGAACGAATGGGTAGACCCACTGTCGAGGAATGCGAATGTCTTAATCTTTATGTTGCCGTTACAGACGATGACTGGGACCAGGGGTAGTGTGGGCCGATCTGAGTTTTCCGCTCCTGCAGTTCCGCACACTGTCGCACCAGTAGTACCGGTCCTCTCTTGTGGTGGCTGAGCTGTCTCTCTCGGTGGTCCAGTTTCATGGCCACTACTTTGAATGGCGAGTTCATGACGTCCTTGGTCTCGGTTCTCTCTCTGTGGGCGTTCCAGATGCATCGCAGTCGGATGACGCCTTTTGCATATTCTGCACTCAGCTCGTCTTCGGCAATCGGCGCTCATGTGACCTTGTCTTAGGCAAGAGAAACACAGGGACCTGCTCATTGCGAACGCCTTTCTCTGCTCCGGTGAAGTAGCTCGAAGCTGCTCACAGTCGGCTGTGACGTGCCCTATAACGTCATAGAACACGCAGGCTGCCTGATTCTGGGTTTGGGCGGCTGCAACAATGGGCCTGGTGCGCCTCACACTGCTGCTGCCTGCTCTGCCTTGGGAGGGGAGCACTGCGCTGTTGTCGCGACTGTACATGAGACGACCGTAGGTGGGATTGGCTGCTATCCTAGCCTCGTCTCCAACAAACTTCACGACGTCTTCAAACTTCACTTCACGTCCCTGCCTCTCTTCAATGTCATCAGCATGTCTCCTCCAACTGTTCAGCATAGTCTCCGGTAGCTTGCTGGTCAAAGATCGCATTGTTCTGGGATCTCCCATCATGTGCGAGGAAGAGCCGAGGGCATTTTTGCAGCTGAGCAGCAACAGCGCAAATCGGTCGAGCGCCTCGACATCGTTCGCCTTAATCGTACTGAACGAGTTAATACGATCCATGAATGCTGATGCTATATGGCTAGGCTGGCCGTACCTCTTATTCAGCATTCTTATAGCCTCTTGGTATCCGTTCTCCAGATACATGCAACTTGTCACTATAGCGTGCGGTTTGCTGCCCGGTGTCATGTGCTGTTCAAGATAATAGAGCTTCTCTTGTGCGCAATCCAGCTTTGAGGCTATCTTGAGCTGGAAGCCCTTCATAAACTGAGCGAACTCAGTCACGTCTCCTCCGAATTTCTTCATCTCTATGGTCGGTAAGCGCATCAGTGAGGCAGTTCGCTCGCGCTCTTGGGTCAGCTGTCTGTTGTCCGGCTCGGGGTTATCTGACGCGCCGTCGTCCCTGGCGAAGCTCACCCTGTTTGATGACGTGGCAGGCTGGTCGTCGATGACAACCGCGCTCGTTGACTTGTCTCCACCGACACCAGACTCCGAGGTCGGCACTGGACAACGGTGAGATCCTTGCGAGGTATTACATTCGTTGACTGCGGCACCTGCCATTTCTTGATCCTGGAAACATTTAATAGCCTGCTCTCTAGCGGACACTTCTGCTATCTTGGCTTCCAAATCTAGGAGTTCCTCTTTACGTTTAAGCTCGGCAACCTGTCTTTCTATTTCCTGTTTTTCCTTAACGGCCTTCAAACGTGCCAGCAGTCCAGCTCTGGCGGCAGCTTCATCTGCCTGTCGCAAAGTCAGAGACTCTGACGTCGTTACTCTTGTACCTGCTTGGGATACGCTGTCATTTGGCTCTACGTTGTCATGTTCTTCTAGAGCCTCTGCCAATCTAAGCCTAAGCTTTTCCTTATTTCCCTGGCATGACAAACCTCGTGCCTTTAACTCGCGCTTCAAGTCCTTGACGCTCATATTTAGCAGCATCTTGCAGCTGGTCTTATAGCATCATGACACGAAGCGAATAGCAATAAAAGGACATGAATAAGATTCGTAAATTACCTTGTAGGAGCGCTGATCCATCCGCATCACATCAAAATTGAGAACCTTGTGATGCTTGAATAGGTAGATTTTACGTGGTCATATCGTTCGTATTTAATATAATGAAACTATTCCTTTGTTATGAGCAAGGACAAAAACTTGGTAACTGTTAATTCCCTGGAGGGATCTTCTGGTACTGTTAATTATAAATATATAGTTTCTTTATATTTTCTTGTAGTTGGAGTCTTCTTGAGTAATAGAGAAAGAAAGGACTTCTATCTTCTACGGGGTTTATTGCTTGAGTGACACTCTCATAGGCGGTATCTTAACGCAGAACATTACCGTTTCATTCGTGGTCACCAGCAATTCCTTATCGTAATATGCACTGTCTACATTATATGAATATTTCTCTTTAATGTTTCACATGTGCTATTTCCTTAATATTTTCCCCGTTACGAAGTTTATGTCCTCCTTACTAACTAACTAAAAACCTTGACCTTTCTTCCATCAAAATATTTACAACAATTAAAACACCTCGCTCGCGTGATCATTTCCGGGAGCGCTCTCGGTAGAATATTCAACAAGTATCAACGAAAACCTTATTTACTATACTTTTTGTGTACCCCCAATCTCAATGATCTGTATCCGCCTATGATTTTTGAAAATGTATATTTTAAGGATCCATGTGAATTCCTGGTTCATTCTCTATCGATCGGCAAAAGTTGCGTTAAGATTGGTTCAGAAACCTGGCCGCGATAAACAGTCTAAAATGTATCTACAATTTGCCCGTTTTTACCCCCCTCTACCCCCTATTGACATTTTTTAATTTTTATTTTTTAGAAATGTAGATCACGTTGAGCGAAATCGAATGCCGTTTGAATTTTCAAAATCGGCCCGTTAGATCTCGAGATATCAGGGGGGTCGTAAACAGCCCCCCCCCCCTGCCACTAATAGGGGTAGCCAGGAGCCTGCCACTAATAGGGTTAATCACTCGCCTCAGCTAATGGCGAGTTAAAGGGACTATCCCACCTTCTAAAATGTTGTTAAAACCAGTTAAATTGTGCCCGACTTTATAGATTGGATGACCAGGAACACGGTTCTGGCATTTATTTTTCATTAAACATCTTAGGCTTCCCATATTCCAAACACAAACTTTCAAATATGTGACGTCACAGCCCAAAATTACCTCCTTCCCCAGGCCACATTACTGTCATAAAGCTGATTCTTTTTACTCTGTAGGCACCACAACAAAGTTCAGACCAAGTTTTAAGCGATTTTTCAACGAACAAACCCATTTAAATCAGAATGACTAAACGAGGTGACGTCACACTAACGGTCGCTCCATGTTGAAGATAGGGCCTTGCGCAAGGCCCATTTTCAAATGAAGGGAACGAATTTCTTCAACACCAAGAGGCCGCGCGGGGGTTGCAACCTAGATAGATAGTGGTTTCTGAACCTCGCCGCAAACTTGGCTATCTCAACTCAAACCCCATGTTAAAGGTGGGATAGTCCCTTTAATAAGCGCACTGCATTCGGCAGTTGCCTCGATCCTCGAGTCAGCCCTGCACGCAGTTCCTTGAACACCACAGTACGCATGATATCGTTTGTCTGTTCGCTGAAGAGGTTCCATGTCCGTTCCACCGTCCGGCGGTGAGTTCCCTCAGTCCGGAGGTGAGTCGTCACTCGCCACCGTCCGGTGGTGAGCCCGGACCGTCCGGTGGTCAGTCGCCACCGTCCGTTAGTGAGCCGTCACCGTCCGGTGGTGAGTTGCCACCGTCCGTCATTAACCCGCCACCGTCCGTTGGTCAGTCGCCACCGTCCGTTAGTGAGCCGCCACCGTCCGGTGGTGAGCCCGGACCGTCCGGCGGTCAGTCACCACCGTCCGGCGGTCGGTCAGTCGCCACCGTCCGGTAGTGAGCCGCCACCGTCCGGTGATGAGGCGCCACCGTCCGGTGATGAGGCGCCACCGTCCGTTGGTCAGTCGCCACCGTCCGGTAGTGAGCCGCCACCGGCGGCGGTGAGCTGCCACCGTCCGGTGGTGAGCCTCCACCGTCGGCGCCCGCTCGCTCACCTGCCCCGGTACGTTGCTGTGCGGCTCGTTGTGTCCACCTGGCCGAGTGGCGCTCCCTCGACTGTCGGCTGTGCACCGCGGCTGTTTGTCAGCGCTCACCTCTCTGACCGGCCTCACTGCTCGGGTGGTCGCCGGCGGACGGTGCTCCCTTTTATACCCCGCCGGCGGCGTCCCCTCCGCTGGCCCCCTCTGTGTGCTCAGTGCCTTTGCGGGCAGCTCGCGGCCAGCTCTGACCGCGGCTTATCCCCGGGGGAGCTGCGGGGAGTAATATACCGCCCCACGCTGGCCCGACGCGTCTGCGTGCCACATCTGCGCCGACAGCAGCGTCCCCCGCCCTTCTGAAGGTCGCCGGGGCGCAAAGCTGACCAAGCCACCATGCCCACGGGCGCGTAGATAGTTGAATCTGAAAATTATAGCGCTATGTTTCATTGGCCCCGCGACATACTGGGGACAACTGTAGGCGCCGATTGGCAGCGCAGTACGTCGCATCTAAAACCCAAACCTCAGCATCATCAGATTGCGCGTTTCACTTTGGGTATTTTCCAGGAAGACCGGTAGATTGGGAATTTCAGGTTAATTGGGGATTTCCCATGTACCTAGCCGTTAGATCTCATGACTCCCTCTTTTTTTTTTTTGCCCTTTAACTGCGAAGAATCATGAACTTTGGACAAAATGTTTAAGGTTCATTCCGCGACGTCATTTTTTTATGCGCGAATGTAGCAGACTTCAAGTGAATCCATCATACGCGGATAAATGGCAACGCCATGCAGGGATTAACAACGAACAATAGTTTGACATTTTGACGCTCACGCAGTTTAAATGATAGCGACATTTATAGCATCATCAGTCGTCCTCGGCGAGGTCGTTCAACGTCACGCCGAATGCTCACGGCCCTGCGAGCGGTGGAAAAGCCGCTTCCACGGCTCCCTCCAACCGCAACAAGTCGACCTGCCAGGCCAGCTACCACAGCAAAACTTTGGTGGCAAGATTCAGGGTGACGATGCACTATCTCCATTAATCCGGCATCATTTTTCGCTCCTTAGATAATCTTAACCCGAGCCCCGCTGGGCTTTTCGGCTATATGCGCTCTGCTGGGGGGGGGGGGGCATATTTTCCCCCTGTCTTACTTCCGAACCGATGATCGTAGAAAGACCGGGAAAACGGCTATCGAAGGCTCTCAGCAAGACTGAGCTTTGGAGTCGAAAGTTTTCACCTCAGTAGGTCAGAGGTCAGACCAAAATGCAATGTGCACTGCAAGTTTCTACATAATCTGCTTTGGAGCGCAGTTGGCGAAGAATGGACTAAGACTGATTACCCAACATGTGTTACCAAGACAAGATGCGTTGCATACCATGTCATGTCAAGGTCAGGTCAGGTTACCAAAAATGAAATATAGAAAAGGCATGCGCAACACATGTCTTAAGTGTCATTTTCTTCATATAATTCAAAAGGCACACTCAGTTAGTGATATGGACCACATTTGGAAGAATTTCAGGTCGAGGTCAGGTAAAGTGAGGTCAAATTTTGAAGTTGATTGTTAAGACCTAAAAAGGTCTTATGCAGTTTTCCACGACGATTCGAATGGTTTTATTTTTTGTTCCCATACAAGGTCTAGATCTTCCATTCCGCTAAATATCGGAATGTAGGTGCACAGAGACTATTTCTATAACATACATTCCGTTTTTATAAACTAAATACTTTGGATTTTTAATGATTTTCCAAATATCATTTTTTAAATGGGGCAAAATCCAAACTTTTTAAAAGAAAACTAAGATAGCCATTTGAAAGACAAAGTAGAATCACAAGCTTTTGGTTACGTCTTGATTGCTTAAAACTGAAGCCGTTAAAGGCGTTTGAAGAGTTGCAGTTTTTAAGCGAAAATGGCGTGATATGAGGTCACTAAAACGTCATTTTCTCAAAGCCTTTCCGACGGATTTCGTTCAAATTTACAGGAAACATGCCAACTAGAAGTTTGATAAGATACTGAAAGTTTGACGCTACTGGCTTAACGTGTTTGGAACTTATTGGCTAAAAACGGAAGGGGACAGAACATATTTTATGATATTTTCAAATTATATAATTTTTTAGTGATAATGCATCAACTGGAAGTGGGAATGCCATCAGTTTTAACCTTTGCCCGGGTGGGGAGAGGCCGTTTTTGCCCCCAGCTGCCCGTCTTTTGCGCGTGAAAAGAAAACCGCGGCGCACAGCGCCTCGAAACTTGGTACCTATAGCTTTTGATATATCCATTTTGCATCAGGTTGACCCTTGGTCACATAAGGTCACATCACCAGGTCAAATTAAGTGACCGTGCCTCTTAAAAATTGTGTGATTCTGTCACTCCTGTCTCCTACAGCTAAATTTTGATCATCGGGAGTTAAATTGAACAGCTCCTTTTTACGAAAACACTCAAACCCCGGGTTAGGTATAAGTAAACATGACACACTGAATCGGAGGAAAATTGTGCTCTTGACAACTCTTTATGCCCCTGAGGTCATCTCAGGTCATGCAAGGTATGCAACATCTTTTTGACAATTACTTCAGAAAGAAACATGCTTGAGAGACGAAAACACCTTAAATGCATTCATCTTGACAATACGAAATGACTGATACGCAGCATGACCCTTTCCAAAACCTGAGGTCAACTTTTGAAGTTGATCTTTTCATGTTGTTGAGATGCTATGGCATGACGATGCAGCTATATTTGGCCAGCACAGACACACGTGAGTACAGCTCGATCGCAACTGCCCCGCCGCGTCCGAGCGGCCCCGCGCCCGTCCGGGTAGACACCGCCCGAGGGCAGGCACGGTCAGATAGAGGTGCAGGTTTCACCCACAGACAGACACCAACACACCTCCCCCGCGCGGTCCCCAACAAACAAGAACAGAAATGTCATCACTGACGAAGGTGAACAAACACGTGCCATTAGTCTCCTACATTTCCTCAATAAGACGACGAACTGGTTTGCGGACACGCGTCGAACGGCGTAGGTTCGAAGGTTCATCAGGACACGCATCAGCCTTAACCGGATCAGATCGAGGCACCTCTTTCCCGATGTCGACGGCAGCCGGGATTA